GCTATAGGTTTGTGCATGTTGTTTTCATGCTTCTGCATCTCATGTATATATTTTGGAGAAGGACTTGTACTTCATATTTGAGTACCTGTTCATTCTGCAATTAAGCTATGAGTTTACTAAAAGTTCTGTGTTCTCTTTAGGCCATTGCATTTTACAGGTGCGTTAGAGGTCAAGATGCAGCATAGTCAAAGTGTAATCTCTTTCAAACAGCAGAAATTAACCTTGAAGTATCACAGAAATGATAGCTATGTTCTCCAAGGAGAAAATGGAATTTTTCTTTCTACCCTGAAAGTGTCAAAATAGCTTCTTTTTTGTTGCCTGGAAGGAGGATACTCTGTTCACACGTTATAAATTAAAATGATTGAAAAGGAAGAGGAAAAAAACAAGTTGATAAAATTATCAGATCTGTTATTTGTGGATGACATTTAACTAGATATTTAAAAATAATCTGTCACAAGGCTGAACATAACCAGTTATCTTAGGTTATTTCTGAACTGCCACCTGCTTAATATTTTTGGAAGACAACCCTTTGGGGCAGACTGTACTCCTTGATACATCTGAATACTGTGGAAATTGCAATATGTAATAAGCATAATAAAAATCTTTAATTAATTAATAAGATTGGAGTGTCTAGAACAAGGAGAAGGAAAGACAGGAAAGTTCCCATGAACATTCAGTTGTCAATCAGCATACAGTTAAGAAACAAATATTTAAACGTCTTCTTTTAGAATGGAAAATCATATAAAAACTTGTTAAATAACTGGGACATTTTATGTAAGTGTTGCTATGGGACTTATTTTTCATTCTCGTAAAGCACAGAAGAAAGAGAATGTATTTAGATGTCCACTGTGTCTATTTTTTACACATTCCATAAGACTGATGCTCACAATTACTTGGCATATTGAATTTCTTCAGGACATGCCTTGTATTATTAGAACTTCCAGTAAGCACAGAGATAGATGTTTTTAGCAATGAAGTTTGTGAGCTAAACTACTGTATATCAGATCAAACATTCCTCCATTGTGATGGATGACTTCCCTTCAGCTCTACACTTCTGAAGTTGTTCTGTTTATTTCATTTCAAGCTCACTTTAATCCACATTTGAAGGAGCCAAATCTATATTCAGCGTTGAAACTGCTCAGTGTTCCTGTCAGATCTTTCTTTTTATTTTTTTACTGATGCTATTTAAAGGTTTTCTGTTAGAAAGCTTAGAATATAGAAACGTATACAAGTTAATTTCACATTCTCTATGCAATTTCTACCATAAAAACAGCAAATGATTCAGTAGCCTTTAATCACAGAGCATGTCTTTGTTTCTCCAGCTAAGGATTTTTTTCCCCTTAGTAAAATGGCAAATTGGGTCTTCCAATTGGGTTAGCAAGAAAATATCCTTTACTTAAAAATTAGCAAGTGAGCATCTGTATTAACACCTTCTTTCTTTTCACCTCCAAATTCAAGATTATTGTTCTCTGCATATTCAGAGATGTCTGCAGAGCTTTGAGCATTGATAGTAACTGGAAGCCCCAGTGTAAATCTTCTGCCAAGATGACATTAGGCCAGAAGAAACACTCATTATCTCTAACTGGCCATCCTATAACAAATAAAAAGTCTTGAACACCAGCCAAAATTAAAATCTGTCCCTGTTGTTTTTATGTTTGGTAGCATTTGTGTAAGACACGATCATTAAATCATAGAATTCAGCTTTCACCATCTCACCACTCCTGCCTGTAAGCTCATCAGTAAAAGCTACATAAAGGGGTGTGCTTAGCAGCATGATACAGATCCTAAGCCACTGGCCTGGTGTTTTGGTCTCATAAGCATATTAGACAGCTTTATGGGATTTGCATTTAACAAAACTATAAGGAGATTAATTACAGCTCCTTAAGCCACTGAAAAATAATGTAAAATCAATTACTGTGTTATTGGCTAGGCCAGACAAAAAATCAAATGAGCACAGCACTTTCACTTTCCATTGCAGATTACCATTAGCAAAGATTTCTCAGATATGTGGACATGATTATGAAATGTGGGATAATGTTAGCTAATTTTTAATTAGGGAACTTTTTTTTTCAATTCTATGATGGCTAGACATAAGGCCTTTGTGGGAGTACAGTGGTCTTTTGTATTTTCACTGAAGATTGCTGAAAAATTTTGCAGATAATGAATAGAGATCCAATGTTTTTTTCCCTGTAGATAAACAGCCATGGATTTGTCATTTGATGATCAATGCATAGTTCAGTGGGAAAAATTCCATTTGTCTGCATGTAGTACAGTACTTACACTGTACTGTAATTCACAAGACATTTTTAAACAGTTCATTGTGAAGAATCACATAAAATTTTACTTAAAGACTTTTGAACACAAGATTGAAAATATTTGAGGAATTTTATTTAGGGATAGGCCTGTAAAACAAATTAAAGTACAAATACTGTCCCCGCTTAGGTATATTTTTCACATATGCCTGATGTCCTCCATCCTCTACAGTTTCTTTTGAATTTAGTATATTTTATAATGTTATAATATACATTTAATGCAGACTGAAGTCCTAGTGGACAGTAGTGTATGAAACCAAAACAGGAACAGGTTGAACTGAACTCTTCTCCCTTCCTTCTCCTGGGTTCAGATTATACCCCACAGCAGAAGACTCACTCTGCATGGCAAATCACGCATAGCTGAGATGCATAATGGAGCAAGTCTGCATGCATGGGAGAAAGGCACACACTTCCAGCTGCTGTAAAGCAGTATAATGTCTCATTAGCTGGAAAGGAGGCAGAGAGCCTCTAAAGTGCTATGAAAGAGCCAAGTTTGTGTGAATTGCTAGAGGGAAGATAATGGGGGGCAAATCTAATAAACCCAAGACTGCTATTAGTACAATGTATATTAAATTCTTTGGAGTTTTTCATATTCAATAGTGACTCCAAATGCAAGTATTTTGTGACTCATCAGGGAGTCTAATTCTCAGTGTAGAACATATATGCTAACTGGAAAGGGAGTCCTGCTGTGCTTTATTTCATGTCATTATAGAGACCCAAAATATATATTTGGAAAATGCTTTAAACTAATATTTTGGCTGAGGTGAGCTAGGTCCATGAACATTACTACTACAAGTGCTCAAAGATGGTTGAGTTGTAATTGCACATGGGGCAATGAAAAATTATTCTCAAAGCTTGTCCAGACAAAGGTATTCTAAATCATTTCACACTGATTAATATAATTTTTTTTCCTACAAGAGAGGCAGGACATCATTACAAAAGTTCAAAAATACTGGGACTCGAACTGTTTTATAAGATACGCTTGTATTTTCTGGATGCATTGAAGACACATCATATTATTTTCTTTAATATCATATTGCTATCACTTCATAACCGTGTATGGATAAAGTGAGACAGTTGTTGGCAACAGGAGTGAAGTCATAATATGATGTAATATGTAATATGATGTACTAATATCCATTAGTAGAAGTCTCAACAAAAACAACATTTAGTTTTAAAGGTGTAATGAATATTAAGCAGTTCTTGAACCTTATAGCTATACAACACTGGGATGAATTCAGCCTAAATAGAAAGGAAAATAAATGAACAACAAAACCAATGAAACTCCTTGAATTAATTAATATAATTTTTTAATCCTCAGGTAGATTAGACCATAAAATAGAGATTCTTTCAGAAAATCCACACACCTCACTGTCCATGTCAAAATAATTTTGTCTTCCTGTTAAAAAAAAAAAAAAGTCCTATAAAACACAGTTGTCTGATCTGAAATCAGAAAAGTTTTTGGCTGGAAAAACAATAAAGATAACCACAAAACCAAGTCTTGAGAAACAAGAATTCTTAAGAACAAACACTTCCTGAGAGGTTCATTATGAAAAAAAGAGAATGCTTTTTGCTCTTGTACAGAGCAATAAATTTTACCATTTGAAAAGCAGAGAAATGACTTAGTTCTACAGCCACTTCCAGGTGGGTTGGAGAGCATCTCCCTGCCAGCTGTGGCTCTGTCGTGCATTAGAGATGGACGAAGGCTCCGTGAGAGCTCTCATTTGGATACCTCAATTGTTCTGTCATTTGGCCATTGAAAAAAAGACGGGTGTGAAAAATTATGTAAGACATTCTGGCAAAATAAATGAACCAGCTGACTTTGTCTCTTCTACATTTGCTAAAGTAAAAATACTCAAATAGCAAAGAGTGCTTAGGGAGAGACTGCTCCTTCTGTCATAGGTCAGGAATGTGACTGTCTGCTTTTAAGATAAGGCTTGGGGAAATCATTTCTGGCCGGAGCCTTGGCATACTGAGTAAGATAGGAATCTAACTGCGTTCTTTTTAAAGCTGGTCATCAAATACTTATCTGATGAGAGAACTCGGTGAAATTTCCTATTTGAACCACTAAGTGTCATAGCAATCTGAATAGCTAAAAAGATTTCTTGGATTTAATAAATCCCTTCTAGGAGAAAAAAAAAAATTGTTCTTAGATTACTTAGGTTCTGGTCACCTACTTACTAATCATCTCCTGACTAATCCTCCATGAAGTTGAAGCCTCAGTGATTTCCTCTTACCCTCTTCCTGATTTGCTTCCTTTTAGAGAGGAAGCAGGAGCCACCTCATGTGATATACACAATCATTAACAACACTGAAAAATGAGTGACAACAAAAGCACTCTCTGAGGTTACTGTACATTTTTTTTTCCTGTAAATTATTCCCTCACTTCCAGCATATTTGTATGAGGGACAGTGGAGAAAGTGTTGAAAGAAATATATGGTGTCTGCTTAGACGGGAACATGCTGATAAGCAGTGGCACGTCTTGACAAGCATTTCTCCTTATCTCATTACCTCTCATTCTTTCCAGTTTCTCCTCTTCAGCAAAACATTGAAATGTGACTAGAGCAATAACAGTGATTAAAATGTCAGATTGCTCTGTCTTTCACTATTTATCTTATTTTCCTCATCTACTCAGGTATATACAGTTGTAGAGGGAAAATGGTAACTCAGGGAGGCTGAAGTTGTTACCCATTTAAAAGATGAGCGTCGTGTTGCTGATTTCTCCATGTGAGTGTCTGTAAGCAGAGAGAGAAAGAGATGAGGGAGTGTGTCAGTGAGTGTGTGTGCGTGCGTGTGTGCGTGTTGTATGCAGAATAATCTTGCAATCATCAGAAGGATTATTTTTGGTGAGATAGGTGACACCATATAAATTTAGCAACACAGCTTGCCTCCTTAGAAAACTGTTTGCAATGCTATTATTAGGCACCATTAAGAACTGAATGAGTCTGCCTATTTGCAATATAAAACATTCATGAAAATATCATAGGTCCCTTTTTGCAGCAAGTATGCTAAGTAGATTCTGTTCAACTGTATTATGCCTGCATTTGCAATTTTACAATTAAAAATACTTAGTACTTTAATTATTAATCCTAATACACAGAGATTTAAAGCATTCTGATAAAAGTCTCCAGATCAGGCAAATTCTCAGTGAGAAAAGGCAAAATGTATCTGGAATAGAAATCATCACCCTCATCCTCTTGAAGAATGTAACTAATCTTCACTAAATTGAATTCATATAAATGTTATTAATTTTCTGTTCTATACAGACTAGCTTGTCCCCCGTTCCTCCCCAAGACATATCTATCTGGAGAAGGACACTGGAAGATTGAACTATCTATGAGAGATGTCAGGGAAGGATTAGTCATCCTATGCCTTCACATGAGAGATCTGCAGTCTGTTACGCTTTGTGAACATTGGAGTTCCTCTGTTTCTTTGTCATTATGAGTGCTCCTGAGAAAGGGCAGGATACGGTCTGTCATGAATGAGTTGTTTAGGTCACTCAATCTCCAGCAAAAGGTATCGACAAAAACAGGTTTAATGCAAAAGTGTAAGCACAACAAAGCTCACTGGCAAAGTTCACTTTACTAATTTCTAGATGCTTAAAGCACACAAAGAAAAATCAGAGTAAAATCTAATATCTATCATTCTAAAAGTAAAATACACCTAAAATTATTTACGTGTAGGCTGGGGATGAAAAAAATTAAGGTTGGGACAAGAAAGAATAAAGAAAGAATTAAGGATGGGACAAAAAAGAATAAAGGACATTCCCACTGAGCCATAAGCTTCAGAATGGACCTCCTTACCAAACTTCGCTGCAGACTTGACCAACAGTTCAGACCTAAAGGTTTTAACAGTGCTTAACAACACTTAATCAATAGCCTAATTTAAACAATTTAACAAAAGATTTTATAGAATTTACTATAGTACAGTCGTAACCCTTTTGTAGGCCTAACTTATGAATCTAACATACTTAAGAATCTAAGAGAATAACATTCATAGTACACTTGCTATAGCATATTCACATTTGCATGCACAGGATATAAATATGTACATACAAATATGTACCTGTGAAAAATTCCCCTCAAGTTCAGTGGAGTACTCATGTTGGATGTCTTTGCATCTTCTCAATAGGTGAAGAGTTGAGCTTTGAGGAGTGAGGCTCCGTTGTCAGTGTTCGGCAGCAGTTCAAGTACAGCAAATGAGAGTTCTCTGGCTCTGAGAGCTGTGCCACTCAGAGTGAGATTGCTGGTCACAGCCCACTGTGGTCCAGGAGAGCTCAAAGGGTATCACTTAAGGACCACTATTTATAGGGTTGCAAGACAGATGGCTTTAGTCATAGCAATTTTCCATACTGGCTGCAATTCAGGTCAGTAACTTTCTTTGAAAGTTCAGTAACAACAATGTTGTACCATTTGGGTTGTTAGTCAGGCAAGAAAAATAATTTTCCGGGGCAGTTGGTTAGAAAACAGGAGATTGTTAGACAACATAAATTCTTGGGAGCAGACAGTGTTTCTGATAAGCTCAAGAGGAGCTTAGCCCAGATGTTGTTCCTCAAGGCTGAGGCCTAAAAAGCATTTCTGATATCATAATGCAGCTCATGGAGTGGGGAGGGGTATTGTGTCACCACAGAGTAGGAGACCATTTACTCAGGTTGACACACGACTTCAGTCTGGTGATTGATCTTTCAGTTTGGTGACTAAAAGACAGGCAGATGCCATTTCAAAGACCCCTTTTAGATCACAGAGTACAAAACCAAGAGTCTGAGCCACATTCAAACCGTGAGTCACTTAGGCATGAGTAGAGCCTTCACCATGGAGCGTGCAGGCAGGTATGTGTCTCTTCTGCTCTATGTCAGAGCAGCAGTCATAAGCAAGTAATGATTAATTAGATGATTCTACCACATATTTGTTTATTTTAGTATCAGCTGGGAGTAAAAACAACTCTCTAACCGGTATTTGGATTTTTATGGCCCAGAGATGCCTTCCTGTAGCATCATTTGCAATAGTTTTAAAGACAATCTCTGTAACATGTAGACACCAAAAATCATTCTGCAATGTTTTCAATGGAAAGTGCAGTGTGCTGAGATCACTGACTACAGGTTCTGTCTTTCATATTTCTCTCTCAGTCCTTTCTGTGTCTATCTGGTATCTCTTGCTTTTTAGGCTTTAGACTATGGACTATAGCCTTTGTAGAGCACACAGCCATCTTGTTAAGCATTCACAAAAACTACTTTTGTGATAACAAATAAAATGCTATTTACCCTACTCATCAGTTTTCAGACAGGAGGATGCAGCAGGATTCCTACCTATACACCCAAGCTTTCTCCCATCCTAGGATAGTCTTCACTGTACCATCAGTGAGCTGTCTCTGACTTGTGCCATCCCTTGCAGCAGCCACAGACAACGTCTCAGTGAGCACGACATGGCAAAGGCCAAAACCCCATATATGGGAGTGTGCTAATGACCAAATAGTTGTGGAAGAGTATTCAAGCCTGAATCTGTCTAGATGCAGCCACAGGTGCTTCTACAGCATTGTGGGATCCTGAGATTTTGACTTCTTTAATGTGCAGTAAAAGTTTAATCAAGGTTTGGAAAAAGCTCTAGTCACTAGTAAGCAAGTCAAGTGTCCTTGTTGCATCATTGCTAGGCTGTGTATCTGTGTTTCAGGACAGAAAAATGTCCCTGTTGTGTGAAAGGCAAATCAGATAATCCTAGTTAATTTTTTCAGTGATTGCAAAGTCCTACAGTCCCAACACAGTTTGTTGTACTTGTACTACTGCTTTATCTTGATACATAGACTGTGCCTATATGTATTTAGGCTATACTCACAGCTGTTTCTGATCACATTTCTACTGAAGGCAAGATAGTAATATTTTTCTTATTTTCTTTATTTCCCATGGAAAAAAATTTCCTTGATTCAAAGTGAATGCCAGATAAATAATTTAGCATCTTCTTCCCTTTCTCATGGATAGCCAATAAAACTCCATTATCAGAATAGTACTCAGTTTTATGAAGCTTTCGGACTCTCTAAAACATGGAAGACAAACTCCTATGGATAATTCATATATGAATGTGAAATTTGTGATCTTCATTCTACCTGAATCAGAAATCTCAGATTCTCTATTCACTTGTCTTTTGTGGAATTTTACCCCTGTCAAATGAAAAATGAGGCAGTTGCACAGGTCATTTTTTCCCAACCATATACTGGATAATAAAAAATAGAAAATATATTTTCAAGACCCAACTTAAGGAACAATTAAAACAACTTGTCAAACTTGACAAAAGTTGAGATAGTCTCCTTACTGATGGCAACTTGTAAACCAAAGTGGAGTTCTATCTTTTTAGATACACATCTTTACTCAAACAGCAATATAGTGTTCTGATCAGTGTTATGGGGTTCTAATCAGAAGACTGTAGTGATTTCTTCCAGTTTTTTAATAGTTTTTTTAAGATTGGTTGAATTGTCAAAGTCTAAAAGTTATTGTAAGAAGCTGGTTAATCAGTCTAAAAAGTATTGGAAGTTCAATAAAGCAAAGATTATACCTGTGAAATCGTACAAGCATAGACTGTTCATTAGAATTGAAAGACTGTGGGGGTTTTTCAAATAAAAAAATCAAATTTGCACAAAATTTTGATTTTCTATGACTCATGGCATTCTGTTTGTCTTATACCTTTTAAAGTTCTTAATTTTACTGACAGAAAGAGTTGTGGAAAAAAAAGGAATAATAATGCTTTATGCACCAATTTTTGTTAAAACTCCTTCTGCACTACACTTTTGTACTCAGAAACACATGTTCTTCAAGTTCTTACACAATCTTTTCTTGAAAGAAAAGAAACCCTGTGATTTATCACCCTGTCAAAACTGAGTTGCACACCTAGCAAAATGAATATTTATGAACTTTTCACTGTCTAGATCCTCATCTGTACTGCATGCAGTGAAAACACACTGACTTGCACTAGCTGAGAATCTTTGCTTAATACAGGAAATCTTACAGAAGACAGTTTACAAGCAAGAAACTAAAGCCAAATTTTTCATTCTGAAATATTCAGTTATCTCCATTATTAATATAACTATAAATGTTGTAGAAGTCTAATCTGATAGAGTTATTTGAATCTTTTAGCACCACAGGTTTTACCATTCCCTACGCAAAAGTAATACCATAAAAAGCAAGAACTCTATTTTTAAATGCAAATAAGACTGTGCAATGTGTTGAAGAAACTTGTGTTTAGCTAACAAGTCTCAAAAGACTGGGAATTGGGGATAAGAGTGAGAAATAATGTGCTTAGAAAAGAAACAAAGAAATATTTCTATTTATTTGGCTTTGAAAATATTTGACATAGTTGAGGTCAGCTGCAATTTGGTGGCAATTTCATCTGTATAGTATCTAAATATTCAGATATCAATAATATTTTGCATGAATGAAATTTATATAATTATACTTTACCAATTTTTAATCCATTTAACTTTAAATGGGCATTTAAGATTTCATTATTTACTGCTCTGCCTGCTGGTAAACAAATGTGTAACATTTAAAATAGTATCAAATCTAATACAAAGTTCTATTGAAAATGTGTTAGTTTTTCTTCAGTTGTGAAGTGCACCTTTAAATATAAGAAGATGAAAAAGGGAAAGTATCAATCCATCTCACTTCGAAAGATAACGCTGAACACAAAACCCCCTTAGTAAAAAGCAAGGAACAATTTGCAGAGAAATATATTTGCTCTTGAACAACCAGACAAAAAAAAAAAAGATAAGTCATTCTAGTCATAATTCTGTAACATTTGTCTAAATTGTATAAACTCTCATTTCTAAAAAACCCAGGAGACAAGGGGGAAATCAAATTAAATTCTGCCTCTTTCAAAAGGGGAAATTATGCCTGACATATGTCAAAATTCCATCCCAAGAAATATAGCAGGAGGGATTATAAGAGAAATGATCTCTACACTTTTGCAGCCAATTGGTGTTGGCTCCAGCTCAGGTATGTGACAGGAGGTCACAAACTTGAATTGCCCTGCTAAAGTGCTGACTTGATAGAAAAATCTAAACTTCATTTGTTGCCATACTGTTTCCTCCAGGTAATAGCTGTTTATCTATTTGCATGCTCTGCACACTTTCTCTGCTGTAAAGCTCTGCGCTTTTGTCAGTATTGCCATAAACAACAGCCAAGGGACATGGGCTAATGAATTGATTTATATTGAAAGCCTTACCTTGTAAAGAATTGATATACAACCTTCATCATTTTATTTTTTCCAGTACATATTGTAGCATACTGACCATAATTCCTCTGAAAACAATCTTTATCTACAATTCAACCGTTATTTGGATATAAAAAAATACACAGGACAAGACCTTTCTCTGGTCTTTCAAAAAAGTCTTGGGAGAATAATACCTAACCATAAGTTAAATACAGCTTCTTTAAACAATCCAAATTGTGAGACTTTGTTTCCCTAACTGATTAAGTAATGAACAGTCTGGATACTTTGCAGGTAAGGATGTACAATATTTTCTTTTGTTGGAAAGTATATTTTATAAAGATCAAATGTCTGGACTGAAGGCAAAGAAGAATGAAGGCAAAGTAAAGTAGAATGTCATCAGGAAAGGTCCAACTAAAGCATTTGTTTTGCTTTCTTCTTTTATTTGTTTTCTTTAATATTAAACAAAGTCTGAAACTCTGTGCTAAGTAGAAGTTTTTGTTAAACCAGGTTTTACAGGCCAATTGGTCACTCATTTCTTAATACATTAATGATATAAACATGAACTGACTGAAAGATTTCTTATATCCATAAGTTTTGAAAAAAATGGGACACAACATCAAGTAAAATATCTTTAAGGAGAATTAGCTCAGAGGCTTTTAAAGATAAGTCTCATTTCTGTTCTGCTTATACGGAAACATTAGAAACTATATTGCTTGTCACTGAGCTAATGTTTATGTCCAAGCCAGATGTACACAACATTTTCACCAAATGTTTTGCTGATGGAGGAAGCTAGTCACCTTACCACACAACTGAGTCTGTACAAAGTTTTACATAACAATGGAAACTTGCTTTTAGACAAAGCACTCAAAGCTGCTGTACTTGGGATATGGATATTCTGTTGATGGCTGGCTACAGGTGACACTGTTTAGCTCCTTGTAAGGAGGGATCTTCTTGAAGGGAGAAAGGCAAAAGAAAAAGAAAAGAAAGAAAAGGAAAGATATAGAGAATGAAAAAAAAACCCAAACATTTGAATGGTTTTGATTTGCTTTTTGTGGTAACATATAATGCATAAA